AGATCGAGCCAGTCAGGAAAAACAAAGGGAGATTTCAGACAGAGATCAGAGCAATCAGGAGTTAATGAAAAGTCAGATTGATCGCTCTCACCAAGCCATCCTTCTCCCTTTTTTATGCTCTGCCCGCTTTCTAATGTACACTGGAGGCGATTAAAACTTTCTGTAGCTTCTAAACTGGTGGATACAAGTCTGTCTGTGTGCTGTTTATGTAAACTCAGACTAGCTGCTGTTAAAATTGCTTCTTGCTGATCAATATCAGGAATAAGAGCAAACAAACTGCAGACACATCTGTTATTCCTGTATGTGCCTCGCAGTGTGTTTGTGGTGGGTGGATGGATCGCTGAGGCGGGCTGGCAGGCAGTCTGCCTCTGGCCAACATGTTGCACCACTGTGAGCTGCGACAGACACAGAAGGTGGTGGTGGAGTAACCCATTTAGATACAGCCCTACAGGGACACACAGACTCGGGGTGTCTCCTTAACAAGGCCAGCAAATAGGACATTCATTATCCATTGTTATTCTGTTTGACAGAATCAGGTAACATTACTGCTGGTGCTGAGATTTAATTATCAGTTTCTATTCTCTTTAACCACATTCACTCCCCTATGTAATGTTACAAACTCAAATCCTCTCTGTTGCCGGCATCTTGCCTACTATAATAATCCCGTTCATTCCTGGATTTCTTTTTTTTGAAAACACAGTTAGTTTCTCTCTCTGCTCTTTTCCTTCTTCTTCTTTCTCTTCTTATCCTCCTTTAACATTAGTTTTATCAGTTAGTTTTCCCCACTGTAAATCAACTTAGATCAGCTAATACATTAACAGATATTTTCAACTCAAAAAAGTAAAATGACCACTGTTAGTTATTGTTGTGACTGGATTATTCAGTAGTATTTAACTGTTGTAGTTTCACTATTTTATACACTATTTGCAGTATAACAATTCATCACTTTTTTAAAGGTTAATATAGTGGAGTAGAATTATGCATTTGAAAAAAATGGAAAAACTCAAGTTAAGTACATGTATCTCAAAATTGTACTTAAGTACAGAAAAGTTATTTTCCACCAATGCAATGAGGGAAAAGCTTGCCCTCATCACAACAAAGTCAAGAAGATAAGAACACACGCACACACAAATCCACTCAACTCCCATGCACGCCACTACATTAATACTTAAACAAAATCAGCAATGTCAGCAAAGGGTACAGAAAGACTGTCAGGAAGCGCAGCGCTGAAAGCAACTCCCCTTCACTCTTACCAAACACACACACACACATTTGCATACATGCACAAACAAACTCTCACGTGTGTGACTAGTGCTGCTGCTCGCTTGTTGCTCTCCAATCATGAGTCAGAGCCAAAGACAGCCGACCAATGAAATGGCAGCTCCTCACTCATAACCACGGTGATCGCCGTCTGCCTAGCAGAACTCTGGGTAACCAGGTGGAGCCGCACAACAAAGACCTGCAGCTGGATTACTATGCACCTAGCGATGCACTGCTCAATTTCAGTCAGTACGAGAGTTAGTACTGTTTTAAAAAAGACAACCTGCCATCTTTTACTAAATTAACTGCCATTTTGTTACTTTATTTTCACAGACTAACGCCAACAAGGACCACAGTGGCCTGATAGTAACCTTGAATATGAATTACCATGTTTATCACACTCTCTGACATCACTGAGGAAAGTCAAAAGGGAAATAAGAATAATTTTGCTGAGATATTCAGAGTTGCGTGGGAGCTTATCACAACATACCCTATAAAGTAGGCTAAATATATTATGATATTTACTATATAAGTATTACTCATAAAAGAGTAGATCATGTTTTTAAGTAAAAAGATATGTTTAAATTATATGTGGGATCTTCAAACAAGTAGGAATGGGTATTTTGATTCTAAAGCTGTGACAGACTTCACTTAAAGTTATTAATTCTGTATGTAATTCTTATGTATGATGCTTTGGCAATATTGTTATTACACATTCATGCCAATAAAGCTAATTTGAATTGAATTGAATTGAATTCTCAACAAATCCAGACTAGAAGCTAAAGACTGATTTATCTTACTCCTCTGTACCATAGAGCTCCATTGCTGTACAAGAAATATTAAAAACACATCAATAAGCCACACTTGGTGACATTTGAAGTTATTCCCACATGCACCGTCCTGCTGCTGTAAGTACACACTAAAGCACCGAATGTGTATCAATAAACAGCTTAAAATAGACCGATAAATGCACTGTTTTGTGCATTTGGTAAAAACCACAGTGGTAAGATGCCTAAAAAGGAAACTATATGTTTGTGAGGGGCTGGGGTGTGAGATAGATGGCAGAAAGGAGATGGACTAACACTAACACTTGTTGGTTTTGGTCTATTCATGGAATAGGGGGTGGTGATGGCGCATAGATAAGATGCTTGCCTTTGGTGTGGGAGACCTGGGTTCCCACTTGTGTCCCTGAGCAAGACACTTAACCTCTAGTTGCTCCAGAGGCGTGCGACCTCTGACATGTATAGCAATTGTAAGTCGCTTTGGATAAAAGCGTCAGCTAAATGACTAAATGCAAATGTACATTTGTTGACAGAGCTCACACGGGTTACAAGCAATAACATGACAGAAAGATTAAGTTTATGGCAGTCTAAGGTTAAATTCTGCAGGTTGAATAAGTAGGAAAATGAATGTAACCATCCAATAAGCCACCCTTATAAACGTCTTAATCAGAGTAAAGCACGTTATTGTCGTGCCAGTAAACATAGCTGTTTGTGGCAAAGCAAGGTTGAAGTGAGGTTTTCTCTGTGTGTGTGCGCATGTGCACACTCCTGTTTGAAGCAGCAGTGAGAGAAGGGCATGAGCTGTGTTAATACAACAACAGGGAAAAGGCCCAGTGATGGTTGCCATGGTAAATATGGCCCCCTGTCGCGTGCTAGCAGTCCCTTCCTCCCCCTCCTCGCCCCTTTCTCTACTATCCCTCTCCATGTCTGTTTTTCCACTAACCGACTTCCTTTCTCTCCTTCTATGATTTACACCATTTCTACTGCTTCCTCCTTCCCCGAGTCACCCTCCCTCCTCCATATTTCCTTCACGCCACAGTGGCCTCCCTACGGGCTATAGACAGGCCCTGAATGCTGCACAGAATGTGGCGACCTTCAATGCATCGTTGCAGGCTGACTGGGGCAGCAACGAGACGTCACCACCGTCATGCCACACTCCTGACCCAAAACCACATCGGTAGTGATGTCTTGTAATCACCTCCTGGATGTTCATCCTGACCTGCAGTTCACACTGCATACTGAGCACATACTGGGATTAAGCAGAGCTATAGGCAGCATATTCATCATTGTCAGTTTTTCTCATATCACTGGAACAGTATTGTTTTGTACTATTTTGTTTAATACTACAAAACAATTATAAGACATTTCTTCCTGAATGCTCTCTGAAATACTGAAAATTTAACTTGACTTCACAGAACCGAGCAGTCTGGGGTGATGAACAGTAACTGGCAGATGATTGATTGACAGATGACACAGTGACACTTTAAGATTAAGTGAAATAGTGAAATATGGAAAATAATGAAAATAATAATCGGAGGACCTTCTTTCAATGTGAAAACACACCATATCTTTGGAATATTTTATCAGAGGTATTATAATCTATTTGGTTTGGTCTAAGTGTTCATCAGTATTTGCTTTATTGATTATTCTGCAAGATTATTTAACTGATAACATTGAACAAGTTGTCAGATTATTTCTTTTTAGTACACCAAAAATGTTCAACAAAGTTCAGTAAATTTCACAGAAAAACCCCACAATTCATTAATCGGCAAGAGGGGCCGAGTAATTTGAGTAATTTTTTAAGAAATAATGCCAAATATTGCCTAGTTCGAGTTGCTCCAGTGTGAGGATTTGACGTTTTTTTGGCTTTTATATCATTTTAAACTGACTATCCTTCGGTTTTAGACTCTTGGTTGGAAAAATCAAGACATCAGAAGACGTCATCTTGGGCCTGTAGAAAGTTGTAATGGACATATTTCAGTATTTTCTTACATATTATTGATAAAACGATTTACTGATAAAAATATTTGATAATAAAAATAATCAATAATAGCAATTCTAATTTAATGGGCGTGTTTTTGGAGCACCCACACAGCTTTATTAAAAGTCTGAACTTTCAATAGGTGTGTAGCAAACAAGTGAGCAACTTAAAGTAGTAACAGGTGTGAATACTACAGTGATAGAAGAGCAGTAATGAGTTAATGTTCGCTGTGCTCCAGGAGCTCAGTTAACCCTGTAGTAAAGTCACTGCACTGCCTTGACACAGCCTTACATCACCCATTTGTTGATGCCACAACATGGCAGCGTGGTGAACTGGTCCCCTCATGAAAACATCAAGGCCTATTCATTTCCACTTTATTTATTGTCTTTTTATTTTCTCTTTCTCACGTGTGCATGCCTTCAGTTAATGTAATTGCTGGGGGGTAAATAGCAAGAGAGGCTATGGCACGCAAACCTTTTGAAATGGGATGGAAATGATGGGATGTGTTATTTATTGTGATACTAGGCTATGGAGCAATGAATAAGACTAGCCTATGCCTTTGGTGTGAGGGACCGGGTTCAATCCCCCACTGTGACCCATCCACCACTGTGTCCCTGAGCAAGACACTTAACCTCTAGTTGCTCCAGAGGCTGCAACCTCTGACAGGTATGGCAATTGTAAGTGGCTTTGGAAAAAAGCATCAGCTAAATGTAATGTAAATAATGCTGTTTTTGTTCAATGACCACACACACACCCTTCCCATATTCTTCATTAAATTAGACACAATGTGATCTATTCCTGCACTCTTATAGGCCATGTGTTATTTCACCTGCCTCCACACAAGAGAAATCCAGCACCTGCCGAAATATAGCCTACAGCCTGTGAACCCGGTGAACCGGAACCGTCAGCAGCAGACTAGGCTACTTCAAGACTATGGAGGTCTGAGTGTCTTGTGGGGGTGCACCGGTACGGCTCACCTGTCAGGCTGTCATAGCACTCGATCTCGGTGCTCTCCACGGCTCTCCGCTGCTCCTCGGTCAGCTTGGCCGCGGCTTGGTTCAGTAGGTTGACCTCGGAGCCCGTCGTCCCGTCGACAACATGCACCCCTTTGAGTTGCAGCAGCGCCCGGTGGTACTTGCCGATCGCTTCACGAAATTTCTTCTCCTTGTAGCAGCGGTGACCCTCCACCTTGAAGTCGATGGCTTTCTGGATCTTCGCCTCCATCTCCATTTCAGCGGAGCCGGCCCGATACCCACCGCCGTCGCTTCCGGCGGCCGCAGCCAGGCTCCGGCCACCGGTCTCCGGGTAGCTTTTAAGGCTCTTTATCTGGTGCTGTTTGGCTTCCATGTCTCTCAGTGAAGGCGGCTGGAGCGGGCCATGGTGCTCGGACACGAATGTGTGTTTTGGGGAGGACCGGAGCAGCGTGCTGTGCATAAAGGATGCGGGACAGATCGGCAGAGACGGCAGGGCAGGCAGCGGAACCGGAGAGACGACGAGCTCCGAAAAACAGCCAAGACACGGGCTTCAGAAACGTCTTTGTTTGCTTGTGCTTGAGGAACGAATGTCAAATGAATTTAAAGGATATTTGCGTTTAAAAAGAGATAAATAAGGCGCGCTGGCACGAACATGCTCCAATCATCAGTTCTCCGAAAAACAAATGAATCCTCGCTCTGGTCCGCTCGCGGAAGGATGCTCGGGTGGATTTCTATGGCAGCAGCCTCCGAGGCACGCGCAGCTTCAGCACCACAAACAGCGCACACACGACAACCCCTGCCGCGCGGCATTGTGGGGGAAAAAAAGAGAAGTCGTGAGGCGTTGCTGCAGACCAGATTTTCACAGGACAAAAACCGAAGAAACGTGCTGAAATGTCCTGACACGATCGATTATTTGACAAAACGACACTGCACCTAGATAAATTGGTTAAAACACGTGTATTACTTAGGCCTATATATGGGCATAAATACTAGCTCATTTGCATATTTATTGAACTATTAGACAAAGGGCACGCCCTACCGCTCACAGTGATAGGCCTAGTCTTATATTTATAACAGGCAATTTAAATGATTAATTAATAGTCGCCTATATTATTGAGGATTACGTCACTCCCACTGTTTGGAAGTGGCCAGATGTCACAACAAAAAAACAGGTTACCGGCTGATTATGATAGAGGCTGATTCAGCTTAATACTGTAAGTTGACCCCCCCCTCTATAAACCTCACATTATGGCCAAACTGCCTGATGACTTCAGCTAATAAGGTTTTCAAGGAGATGGAGACGGACAGCAGGAGGCTGCAGGGACCAGAGGAGGATGAAGGGCAGGATGAGGAAGGAGAGAGCGACCTCTAGGGGAGATAGTGTCACTTACACCCATTTGATGTGATGTATGGCAGGGGGTTTTCAAAGCCCCCCCCCCCCCCCCCCCCCCCCCCCCCCACCTTTAGTTTTGGTAAGTTTCGCTCAGTTCCTGGATGCCTATGAGATCATGATTATATGATCTGATCCCATAGACACATTTGAGCCAAGATAACCTTAAATTGCTGTTTTACATAACTTCTGACTAAATAGTTTTTAAAAAAGGTCTGTCCTAAGGCATTTATAAGTTCCTGACTCTGTTGGGGGAAAACAGTTCCCCCAAACTACTGTATCTCTGAACTCAAACACATAGGCTATTCTGTGTAAACTAATGCAAGTAATGTACTATTGTGTCACCTCCATTCAATGAGCCTCCCCTGAAACTGTTTGGAGCCCCCCTAGGGAGGCCTGCCTCACACTTTGAAAACCCCTGATGTATGGTAAACCTGCAGCTCACCAGTCTTATCTCTGCATAAATTATACATCATTTTCTGCAAGGTTATCACCTTTTTTCTTCCAGATTTATTAACAACCATGCATGTCTGAGGTGTGATTCACCTGGTTCATAAGCAGCAGCACATACAGAGGAAAGCCTCACATGAGGTTAAGGGTATCCTCTGTGAGTCACGTAAACACTTGCAGTTTCAAATATTTGTACTGAATTCTAAAGTGCCAAGTGTCACAAGCAGGAGGTTTTCTTACCTTTCCTGCTTGAATCATTTTCTAATTTGGAAATACTCAATTGTCCCTGTGGGGAATTGGAATTCAGCATCAACGACATTTGTTTGATTTCAGACTGCACAAGATGAGTAATTAGATTTTTTTGTTACTGACACTTAACACTTCACTATGTAAACATTTAATAAATTGTATATAACACACTATAATGTAGTTGTACAAGGACATTTCCTGTTTAATGTACAGTATTTGTCAACAAATATTATTTTATATCAATACAAGTGAGTTTTACTATTTTGTCATTCATTATGTGTTGTTGACAAATACATTAACTACTTATATCTGTTTTATAGACAATATGTTTAGATAGAACTCATGCATGCTAAATAGAGGGACTGAAATGTTATATCAAGCTGTTAATCCTGTATCTCGTACTTTAAAGCACTGATGGATAAAATAACTAGCATACATAGTTCAGGTATTTAAATGTGTCATCAGTGTGGACCTCAGGGTATTTATAGATAAATGGAGACGGACTTGACTGATGGGATTGTCCATGGATTCTATAACTAGCTCATATTCACTTACTGTCCTCAAGTAAACTTCATGTCTTCTGTCTTTTTAATCTTTAAAATAAGGTGGTCAGCATCACACCAGTGCACAAACATGATATTTGGGAGTCACCACAGCTGTTTTATACCTACAGTAGCTCTCTACAGATCATGTGTAAAAATTACAATAATACTGCTGTGAGATCATGTCATCTAAATATAGGCTAGATGAAATGTTGACCTTTCCATTTAAAGGGAACCTCATGTCTGAAGCAGCCAACAGCCGCATGTAATTATGTCGTTTCTGTCCACCAAGTGGCCACATGTTCCATTTTTGACATTACCCATGTATTTGTACTGAGGAGGTAAACCGATGTAAACGTTTTTTAAAAATACAGTTAAGATCTGGATGCCAGACGTGTTCCCAGCTGCAGCTGATCAGAGTAAAGAAGCATTCTCTGATGAAACATCATTAACATAACGCGCCGACATGTCAGCCAACATTATGCAGCAGTAGCTACCTCTTTGTGAGAGGAGCAGGAATTTAATGGGTTTATTGATAAAGGATCAGCTACATGATCCCAGGGGAATATAAATATTGACTTTGTTGTCATGTCAATACTTAAAAAGAGTCGCAAAGAACAGTTTGTGCCAATGACATACACTGAAAATATCTCCTTCACATACACACAGAGAAAAAGAACAGCAAAGACATTTGGACCCTTTTCTCTTTTAATTATTTTCCAAGGGTTCTCCAAATTCAAGACTTTCTCCCATAATATCTTCAAAAAATTCAGACAGTTCAAGGTGTGTTTTGCTCTGCGATGTGATTTTAACTACTTCAAATATTTACAGTGTTACAAAGTTCTGGTGTGAAGTCTGAAAGACCAAAAGAGTACACAGGTGTTAATGGCCCATACTGGGGATAAAGGTGAACTTCCTACTGACACCAGGCCTGACGGAGTTTCATTTCATGGATACATAATACAAGACTGTCCACATAGAAAAATATGCAGCAGGTTCTGTGTGGTTTGAAATAAAGTCTAACAAATCTATACATTGCATTTCAAAATAAATGATATTCTACTGATCTGACCTTCAAGTTGGTGGTTTTAGAAAATGTTTAGTACTATGGTAGAAAAGTTGACATGGTTCAGAGGTGTGAACTTCTACCCTACAAAATGCAGAAGAAGAGGAGGAAGTGTGGTGCTTTTCCTTGATTCAAGTGTTCAGAGAGGTCGTTCTGTGTAACCATTTGAGTTTTGTTTTCCACACACTGAAAATAAGAACTTTTACCCATTTTTTACTTTCAAAACATGATAAGGTCATTTTGAGATGGTGCAACAAAGAGAAACGTTTAATCCTCACCTCTTAGCTAGTCTGCACTCCTGTGTTTTAAAACAAGAATAAACTTAAATTGCTTGTGGTGTGGAATAAAACTTCAATGTGTTTTACATCATTTTGAGAAAAAGAAATAAATTCACTTTCAGGCATTTTCAACTACTTACTTAAATTCAGGAGGACTCAAACAAGGGGAAGTTTGGGCAGCAGCATCCTTATATGTGGAGTTAAAGGGTAAAATTCAAACCACCATTATGGCAGCCTGGTTGACGTCATGCTCATGCCTTAAGCTCACAAATATAGTTAAACATATATTTCTTTACAAATGATAAACAGCAGATATAACGGAGACATGAGGAAATAGCTTCCTGGTTGAGCAACGTAATACAGAGAACTTTGAGCCCTCAAATTAAAAGCTTGGACACTAAACAAAAGGTGATTATCCAATAACTAAAGTGTAAAAAAAAAAAAAGAAATCATAGGTTTTTATCTAAGAGTAACCCTAAAGCCACAATGCAGCATTAAAAACGTCCACGCACTCAGACTGAACAAGAAAAACGCTCCAATCAGCTGTCCTGCATGTTGTCAGGATTAATGCAAAAAGGTTGTGATAAAAATTCTATAAAGGACATATAGAAACAGTCTATTCTTAGTTTTAGGATTGTATGTGTTAAGTTTTCTTGCTGCCCAGTCTCTTAAAAACACTGATAGCCCTAACGTCCATCTGGGCACCCAAAGACTCTCCTCCTCCTGCTGCTGCTCCTCCAGCTAAGGCCCCAGTGCTGCTGCTGACCTTGGGGCTCGCTATGGTTAGTCTCTCCTGGGCTTTGGGCCTGGTGCTGGTCACCCTGTTGTCCTGTGTGTCGGCAGGCGTGGGCGACAAAGCCTTGTTCGGGTGTGTGGAAGGGAGCTTGCCCAGTCTCTGAAGCACACTAATCTTGGCGGGGGGGAGGCCATTGAGGGAAGAAGCGGAGGTGGAGGAAGAGGTGGGAGTGTCAGAGGGAGGTAGTTTGAATTTGCCTCCCAGGCGCCGCAGGGTGGTCGGCGGTGGTTTGGTGGCTGGCTCTTTCGTCTGGGAGGGTGCGGGTCTCTTGAGGACGCCAGCATACTGGAGGACAGAGCAGTCTCCGTCGCTGTTGTCCCCGTCATCTACATCATGTTTCCAGCCATTTTGGCCAGCCTCAGCCTGTTTGCCTCTTCCGGCCCTCTGTCCAGGCGACTGAACACACCGGTGGGCTGTCAAACGTGAGCATTATGAGCACAGAGCTTATCTTTTTGCCTGTTCCAATACAATACAAAGCGTGCTATCACGACATAGTGACAGGCCTCACCTTGTTATTGCTTGTTGTTGTGTCTGCCTTTGATTCAGCCCCAAGTCTTGCAAACACAGAGGTGCGTTTCAAACCTTTTTGAGGAGCAAAGCAACAGGCAATTGGAAAGTTTTACACAGAAACTATTGTGACTGTTTGGCTCATGTTTTGATAACTCATTAGTGATGGAGAAATAATCAGTTAGCCACATGCTGCCGATCATAACAGAAAAATCTTATCATTACTGTATTTTAACTGCTGAGAGTGTTGCAGTACAAAACAGTGTGTCACATGAACATTTAAGGTGTTTAAGGTTTTATTAAAATGGGCTCCCAATGTATCTAACGCAGCAGTTACCAGCTCAACGAGTCAGTGCTGTACTAGTCAAAAGAACAAGTTAAAGTAGCAGATCAATTGAGCAAGTTTCCAAAATTTGGCCCGGAAAAAAAGGGGTACATGCATTTAAAAGTGATAACTGACAGAAGCCAACCTGACAGAGTGGAAGGTAGGGCTCATAATGGTTTTCTTTCGTGAAATAAATATGAATAAATGTGAGCAGTTTACAGCATTGCAACTCTTTTCAGATACAGAGCCCACTGGAGAATTCATGCCATGGAAAAAAAGACCAGACAAAGATTTTTTTAGTAAAATCAAAAGGAACAAAGGAAAAAAACAAGAACAGTTTGACAGAGGGATTAATTGTTGGTGCAATGGGAAGTATTAGTAGGGGAGTATCAGTAAAGACAAGGGATTCAAGCAGGCTCAGCCCTGGGTCACCTGATTCAGATTTAGTATGATGGAACTCCATTAAAACTTTTAGTATTGATTAGCGGTGGTGAGCGACAGCATTATTTGAGCGTGTTGTCGGCGAGGCCACTGGGTCAGGCCTACCTTTCTTGGCCTGCTGGGCCAGGATGCGGCGTGTACGAGGCGTTGTGCCTTTGGGCATGTTGATGATGTACTTGCCTTCCATCTCTGCTGTCACACGTCGGCGCTTCACTCCTGGCAAACCGTTCCCCTCATCAGCTGGCTGACTTACAACTGACCAACAAAGTGGCGGGTACATGAGGATTAAACAGAGGTAGAAAAAAATAAAATAAATAAATAAATAAATAAAGACAGGACTCATCCAGAAGAACAGGAAATAAGAGACTGAAAAGGAACTTTTCATAATATTTACCTGCTTTGCTACTCTTGTTTGCTTGCGTGTTGGACACTGTGACGGACAGGCGGTTGTCAGGTCGACGGGCAGGAGTGGCCGGCGGGGAGTCATGGCTCAAAGCGTTGGCAATCATACGAGTGGCAGCTGAGAAAAAGAAGGACAAAAAGAGAGAAAAGTAGCTGAGGATTTAGCTTGTTCTCTGTAGGAGCTCTTCGTGTTCTGTCCTTAAAGACAAGATCAGACGACAGCTGGGCCTGCATGAGGCCTTTTAGACATGCAGATGTGTGCATTAAAGATATACAGCACAATTTTTTAAAATTATGTTGCTGCAGGTCAGATTCTCTCTCTCTCTCACACACACACACACACGTGACATCTCTGAAATGCCACACAGTCCTTAACTAGACAGATGATACTGAGCCAGTAACCGAGGTACAGAATACCCAGTCTGCAAACTGCCCAAAATATAATTCCGTGCATCAATACACACTGACAAATCTACCAAATCAAAAACGAACCTCATCTGATTCGCAACAGCTGCAGAATTTCTTTAGTTGCAAATGTATTATTATTATTTTTAAAGGGATCAAAGAACATTCTTCTAAATTGAAACTTAATTTCTTCCGAGGGACATATAGAAACATCAACCTGTGGTGCTAAAGTGTTCGCTATTTTCTCCACAAGATCAGAATGATAAAGAAGAACGTGGCTGGCTATCCGTAACGGTTATGTGACCTGTTTACTTGGTCGGTTTAGAGACAGTGTGGCAGGACAAATTAGAAACAGGTGCTTATGCATTTTATAAAACATCAATGAATGGCACCAGTGTAATATCTAGCATGAGAAAGCATATGATACCGACATATCGACTTTTTACCCACCCCTACGGTTAACTTTTATTTGCAAACTCTAATTCTATGACACTGATGAAATGTTGGACTGTTTGATTTAATCACTGCAGGCAGAGTGTATTATCAGACCACTGTTGATTCACATTGGTTGTGGTTGGGCTGATATATAGGTCATCTTAATAAAAAAAAGCAATGTAGCACGCTGGGTGTAAACAGTAGAAACAAAGTCTAAAAATGCATCATTTAACACTTACCATTCTGTTGTGTCCCTAAACTTCAATTTATAAAAAAAAAAATCACTATAACTTCTGACAAGGAAAACTGTTTTAATTATGGTCGATGTAGAAAAGTAAAATGTAAATACTTACGAGTATTGGCAGTTCTTCTGAGCTCAGCTTTAACACTGGTCTGTCCTGAGGAGATGGCTTCTGTGGCCATTTTGCACATGTCCTGATGATGGAAGACACATTACAGAGGTTATATAAAGTCACAGACTACTGAGAGTCAATGAACCCTGCTGATGACAGCAGCGACTTTGAAAGACATCAATTCCCCATGAGTGCGTTCACAGTAATAGAGGAGCTATTCCAGTGTTATTTTGTTTGTACAAGCCTACACAAGTGGGACCGTCCATTTTCAACATTTCATTACTTCAGAACATGAAACATGTTGAGTCTGATCTCACCTGCCTGTAGACCTGCTTGGCATGTTTAAGAATGGCAATTATGTCACCAATGACTGTAATGCCGAGGTCCATCATGATGTCTTTACTGAGGTCCATCAGCATGTTCTTGTGAATTCTGCAGTAACAAAAAAAATCAGAAAATATGTACATGTACTTCTTTTCCCTCAAAGAAAAACAGTGCCCATTGTTGCCCATTAGTTCACAGTGAAAACGAACCCAGAGTTGTAACCATTAAGTCAAATAGACTTACAGCTAAATAATTCACTTGACAGTTTCAGTTCCATAACAGCTGCCATAACAACCTGTGCAAAGGAGTAGGGTTGGGGACCAAAAACCAGAACCAAATTAGAACCAAATCCAAAATACCAAGAATCGTGGATTTCTGTTCTGCTTCAGTTCCTAAACGCGATTACCCTTTATAATTGCACACAAAGGCTAGATACCTGCAAGGACATGGCTATCTGCCAGGACCTGTATATGTCATACATCAATGCAACAGCATGTTGATTTGTTTAGATAAGCAAGTATGGCTAGTCACAATAGCAGTGAAAGATGTCATTCATGAGACATGAAGAGAGATAAGAACAGCCATTACCGTATAAAACATCTATTTGTTCCTCTAAAGTCTAAACCTATTGGCCTCAGGTGAAGATACCAACGATGGTTGTTCAGTCTTGGCCACAAGTAGTCTTAACGACTGTAACGACTGTCGTCACAGCAACAAGGAACACTAACGACCAGCGGTATCGATGACCCGGGCCAACGACCCCACTGAGGTTAAATAGCTGAGTTTCCCTGCCAGTCAGTCAGAACTGAAGAAGTCCTTTGGATGAGGGACGAAACGTCTTCCAGTATCTTCAACCAAGTCCAGTTGCCCTTGATTTTAACCTTCGTTGGATAACTAAAGTCTAAAAGTACTCAAAAAGTTGAGATGGTAGCCTCAACACTGTAGGGTGCTTCTGAGCAGCAGCTCAGGCTCAGTACAAATTTAGGGCATTAATTGCTGTAAAATTTGTATCTGTTAGTTTTTATTTCAATAAAAGATTTATAAAATAGAGTCATCAAAGTTTTGTCCACATCAAAGGTATTCAGTCTGCGCAGAAAATGAAGCCTCTGAAGACCCTTATTGTAGACAGCAGTGTCATGATCAAAGTTCAAGTTTTTGTCAATAACTGTTCCTAGATACTTGTAACACTCCACTGTCTCAATAGGTGAGCCCTTGATTATTGTTGGAGAGGTTGAGTAGGGAGTTTTCTCTATGTCTATGAAGTCTATGACCATGCTTTTAGTTTTAAGGACATTTAACTTCAAGAAGTGGTGCTCACACCAATTAACAAAGTTGTTCAAAACTGGCCCATGGCCAACCTCCATCCTGGAGCAGACTGGCTAAAACCGTGTCGTCCACAAACTTCAGAAGAAATCTGTTATTGTGGTGACTCCTACAGTCATTTGTATATAGGAGATACAATAGTGGGGACAGGACACACCCCTGGGGTGAGCATGTTGATGAGAACCGCTTCTGAGATAGAACACTATTAACGGTGACTGACTGGGGCCTAAAAAAGGTGTGTTTGGATTGTATTAAAAGCTGATGAGAAATCAACAAATAAAAGCCTTGCATGGGGTTTTTCCCCCTCAAGATGCTTATACAGAAGATTAAGTAAGGTAGTAGTAGCATCATCTTCTCTATTAACCTGGTATGCAAATTGCATTGGGTCAAGCATGCCGTGAACCTTATCAGACAGGATTTGCTTGATCAATTGCTCAAAGGTCTTCATCACTATTGATGTTAGGGCTATAGGCCTAAGGTCATTAAGCTCTTTTGAGTATCTGTTCTTGGCCGCAGAGACAACCACAGATTCCTTCCACAGTCTTGGGACCTTATACTGGGTAAGTGACATGTTAAAAAGATTGGTAAAAATGTCACATAATTGATCTGCACAGACTTTAAGAAACTTACCAGTTATCCTGTCAGGGCCAGGGCTTGTAAAACATATATCTAACAGAATGGGCACTGATGTTTGTCATTAAAATGTAAAGAAAAATCATTTATGGCATTTGCAAGCTCTGCTTTGAATCAAAGCCATCAATAGTGATTGATCTATTATTTGGCTTTCATGCCATCCCATACAGCTTTTAAGTTCAATAAAAATGGAAAATGACTATTTAAATAGCAGCTTTAATAATGGCCTGAAAAATCACAATTTGTTATTTTCCCTGAAGCGTTTACCCCATGTTATTTTGGCCATTGTGGATTAATGTACTTTGGTTCATGGCTTCTTAGAAAACAGCTTTGCTGCACACTGTATTTGGTTTCTGCATATCACCAGAGAGGGAGGAAGAATGACAGATGACAGCAATCAAACTGAACTCATCCCCCATGCTTCTGATGTCAGGTTTTCATTTTCACATGCAGATTGTAATTACATTGTTTATCATATATATTTTCATAACTTTATAATTAACTTCTTAAGAATCACTGACACTAATAAGTTAAACCAATCAGTAAATTGTGATGATACAACTCGGTGGATGAAAGAGACAATTGTGTTTCAGCTCAGCTACGGCCCTGATGTGATGGGAAGGAAATTTACATGATCACAGTACAACACAGTGTGATGACAAAGAGGCATTAGCTTACCTGTTGTCCACGAATGAGACCGCATACGTGACTGCGAGGCCGGCTGGGATGCCAGCATCCTTGAAAAACTGAATCCACTCTGAGGTGGCTTAAGAAGATAAATAAAAGACAGCAATCATATAACAGGAAGGATTTGAAGAACACTTTCATGTTTACAATTTAATTAAATGTAAAACCTCTTCTAAATCTAATGAATGCTTTTGTCGATTAATCTCTGAAATATTTTTTAGATTAATAAATTCATAGATAAGCTACCATAATAACAGTAAGTTGGCCTCTTCAAAGTAATACAAATAAAGCTAACGTTACACTGTAGATGGTGGTTCTCAGTGATACTGTAGACTACAGTAGGAGAGGGCCTTGGCACAAAACGCCAGTAGGAGACGTAAACCTGAAGAGACAGCAGCATGCTGAGGTCAAACACTTGCTGACCACGGCCAGCCGGAGGCTATTTTTAACACCAATTATGAAACGCCTTTTGGTTGGAGTAACAGATACAGGGCGAAGGATGCACAACAGCTGCCAGAACAATAGCTCTGTCTAACGTGTTCTGATGAACTCATAGCTAGACACGAAACTCACATGGTGGCTAAAATCTAATTTGAGGCGCCTAAACAAGACAGAACCACAAATGATCGCAATACATGTTTTACTAAAAAAGGTACAATTACAAAGTATGATTAAGAGAACACCGTCAATCGGGTGTGAAATTGAACTCCAAATCTGATAGAGATTCAGTGCTGGTTAGCTCATGATAGCATAAGACGATGACCTAGCCAGCATAACCCACTCAAAGATTAAACTAGCCAACGATTCAGTGCACAGTTAACGTTATCGCTATACGTCTGTTGTAATCAATTAAAGTAAAATCACACATTTAAGTGAGCATCGCAAGTTCAATGTGTTAGCATTCGTCATTAGCATTATGTTAGCTTCCGCCAAGCAATGAATTAAAAAGAGGTATCGGCCATCTGCGACGTCCACAGCTTCGGGTGTAAAAAAATAAAATAAAAATCTCGACAGTATTCAAAATGAATGCAATGACCACGTCTAATTGAGAGTGAAACACCGAAATATTTAAATTGTTGCTAAGTGGTGCCGTGGCTAGCCGGGCCTTTCTGGTCTCACCTGTTGTCACGGACGCCATGTTTACAACAAATGTCGGGTGACGACAGCTACATCCGGACAGCTCAGGCAGCTGCCGTGACGCAACTTCCCGTCCCAGAGCCAGAAATAGTCCTGTGAGTGTTATCTACGAACGCTAGAGAGCAACACAGACTGCTAAGTTACACTTTCAGCAAACAATGATGAATCACTTTTACTTGCAAATAAATTTAATGAAGTTCTTTTTTATTATTTATTTATTTTACATAGATACTAATTGTTGATATTTGTGTAAACTTACTGTAATACTATCATATTATTTGTAGTGTTTGTTATTTTAATAATTGTTCCTTAACGAATGCTACAGCTTCAATCAAGATATAAAATATAAATAAAAGCTTGATAAAAATCAAGATATATTTGCAATGTTTAAACAAATTAAACAATAAACAAATTTAAAACAGATTTTTCCCCTTTATGTCTTTATGTTCTACATGTAAATTACAAGTTGAATCCATTAGTCATCTTTTCTTTTCTGGATAGAACTTGCTCTATTGATCTTTCAAAGTTTTAACCCTTTAACACCCATATTAGAAGACATCTTGTTTCTAAATTGCAATACTGACTTACAACCCATCAGTGATTCTGTTAAACTATCATGTCTTATTGGCAAATTTCACATCAATAAGGGTAGAACGCTTCAAAGCACTCCCAATTTTCATTTGTTTTGTGCTAAATTACAATATCTCTTCGGCTCTGTCTCTAAATTGTTGTCAAACATATAAGCTATCAAAACCTATTTAATAACTGGGAAATTACTATGTTAAAGGTCTATTAATTTATTGGCTACATATTAATTGATATCTCTCTCATAAAATGTGTTTTCTTTTTGTTTTATTGTTTTGTATTTTTATTGAATTAAATTTGTCCTGGTAAAATCTATTTTTATATTTTCTGTTACTGCCTCATTTCTTATTGTATATATATTTTTTTGTGTTGTGTTATTGTTAATGTTGTTGATCCGCAATTCCCTGAATGCACAAAAAGAAAAATAGGTCACATTTACTTGTTCCAGTACCTGCATGTGTGAAAGTATCTGTGACTATACCGTTTAAACCTAAAATTTAGCATACCTTTTGATTATTTACACATTCAGCAGATACAGAGCAACATTGACTTTTATTTTGGAGTAACTCATGTTTCTGGCCACTTGTCAAAAGTCAGATATTCACTTTCCCTTGATCTCTGTTTTTGTCTGCCTAATTGCTATAGTTAGTAGAAGTCGCTATAGTGTCGTCCAAAACAACACTATGGGAGCAATGTGAGTAAATGAAAACAGCAAAATGTGGGCAGTAAAACCAAAACAATGAGTTAAAAGACCTTATGAAGTTCTGTAGAGCAGAGGGGAACTATAGAGTCAAGTTATAAATCTCTTTGAGTTCATCACACCGACGATACAAGCAGTCAGGATCCATTGTTAAAACAGAAACTATTGATTACAACCCTTTAATTGATAAATTAAGTGAATTGATGTAAGTGCTTCTCCTTTTTATGATTAAGTTAGTGTATTAGCGTACAACACATTTTACACGTAGCCTATAGGCCTACATATTTTTAGTCCTTGTCAATTGAACTTTTGCCTCTGTTTTGTTTTTGTCTGTCTGACTATGCATTTTTAGTTTGGGAATATTTTGTTGAGTTGTTCTTTTCTTGCTCACATCTTGCATTCTTAACTCAAATCACAAAGATGGTAATCGACATGTTTTTTCTTTAGTACACAAACAAAAACATAGGTCAAATGAAGGTCATCTTTTTAAAAGCGGGAGACAAGTATATTATAGTTTGTTGTTTATTTGAGTAATTTCTTCACAAATTGGAAATGAATGGCATTTGGTCAAACCAACATTAAAGGAGACAGCTCACCCAGCTTTTGCAGTCTGGAAATCGAGAAAAAACATTATCATGTAAACTTTTATAGAACAGCAAAAACGGCAAGAAGCTGAAATATGGACACAGAAAATCAGAGAGCAGGGACTAAAAAAGCAACATGGCACATTTGTCATACACTTTGGTCCTCGTCAAGAGAAAAAGCAAATGAAAATTAGGGTATAAAAATAAGTAAACAGTAATTTATAGTGATGTGCAGAAAACTAGTAAGTTATGCTTAATGATATGCACCTTCATGAGATAATTATGTAGTTATCCATGCGCTATAGTTTTACAGTTTCACAGAGAACAAAGTTTCTTTGGGCCTTTCACTGCTGTAACCTTAAAGTGTATCAAGTCATATATCCTGTGTTTCCAAATGTGACAGAATTGCAACCTTTGCTCACAGAAAAAGAAATACAGACTACAGTATAACAAAAATCGATGAAACGTTGATAAAAAGAATTATGAGAAGAAGCATTTTTGAAGTGGAGGAATATAGAGATATTGTAACCCGATTTCTTCATGATTGTCTCAAAATTAAATGTTACAATAAATATTGAGGGTAACTTTTAATATTGTCACAAAAATTGATAGATAAAGCAATACATCATCACACTTGACATGTAGTAGCAGTCAGTTTGAGCACTGCGTGATTTGCTACATTATGTTTATCCAAGAGGATAATAAGTATTGCGTTTCATACCAGGGAAACTATGAAATCAGAGCATATATGGGGCTTGTGGAAAAATAGAAATACATAACAACATTCACCTCATCATAGAAAAATAGGAAAGCTCTTGTTCAGTTAACTCTAACATAGCCATTGTACAGTACAGGTAGGTGCAGGCGGTTTCTCTGTCTTATAATTGGTATCTAAATATTTCTCCTTTTCCTTCTGTGCCGCCTTTTCCAGTACATTAGCAACCCATGTGTGATTGTAACCTTAACCTTACAAATCATCTAATGCATATTCAGACAATTTTAATTGAATTCAAGGCAAAGAAATTAGATGAAAGATTGACTCTAATATGTTGTGTGGTGATCAGTGGCTTAAGAGTGGAGTGCATACAGTACAAGGACCCTCTGAGAACTGTTTATCACACTTAAAGATGTAGCAGGCAATTGATATTAAACTATGATGAAATCATAGAGTGATTACTGGGCTCTCAGAGCTTCAGCTGCTAGGAATTCACTGTGTTATTGGCTTCCATTCTTAATAAAATATCCCATTGAGACAAGCAGTATACTCATTGTCTGGAGCCTCAGCAACAGCAAAGTGTAACCTTCCACCAATGTGAAACTGCCTCGTCGTCATTATAGCATACTGTAAGTAGCACCACAAAAACCTATGTACATGAGAACTATTGAATACGTTTTATGCTTATTCTCACACCAGAACATATTCTCATCACATTTGCATTTGGAGAGAAATCAAAAGACATCTCCAACACCTTTACAAACACGGTCCTTATTTTAACATTTTTTTAAAAATGAGGTCTGCCCATTTTCTGACCACCAAGAGCCACATTTATACACTTTATATCATTAATCTAGCCACTGTTTTGAATAAACATGTTTATTTATTGAAAATAAATCTTCTTATCCAGCAAATATAATCATAATACATTTTTATCTTAATTAGACACTATATTTGCTTGAATACAAGAATGGACTTTAACATGATAATGTTCATATCAAGGCTAAAACTGCGGTTATTCTTCGAACACACATTTCAGTTAGAAAATAATTTCATTGAGTGATATGTTTATACTGGACAGAAATGCATACTGGGTATGAAATATGTTGTCCTTAAATGAAACAGTTTAGTCATTATGTTGTAGTCTGAACACTTTTAATATGTGTATTGACATTAAATCACACTAGTTTTTTTTCCTCATTTTGCATCTTCTAATGATCAAGTGGCATTAAGGTGTCAGTAGTATTGGGACAGACCTCACAGAGAAAAAACAAACAAGAATAACAAAGGCGTTATCCACAACTGTCTAACATCATAATCATAAACATACATTTAATGTAACTTGTATAGTGCTTTATATTGTTTATAAAACATAAATACACATTGATAGAGGCAGTGACATAGTGCTTCATGTTGAGGGACAGGGCAGTACTTTAAATTTATTATAGTTTTTTTTGTTGTTCCTTTAGAAAAATATTAATTTTAAAACTAAACCTCAGTAACATTTTATCTTGTTCTTCATTGACAAAAATATTCCATTTAGATCTGCAGACATTCATACTTTACAATCATGGTACATACACTTATATATACACGTTAGCTGTATATATGTATATGCATATACTTATAGATTAGATTTTTTTTTAGTAGTGCACAACATGCCTCCAAAGTTGCCAAATGAAAATACAATTAAAAAATGAAACACTTGTTACAATGCAATAATAATAGTAACAGTTATAAGGAACTCTCCCAATTAAAAAACAAACAGAACAAAAACAAGAAACGGCAACAGTACAAATGAAAGCAGAGGTCAATGCAAAAACAATCAAACACGCAAACAAACATAGACATTAAAAATATATAACAATTCTTACTCAAACATACAGGAAAAAACAAGTTATACAAATTCACAGGCAAAGAAAGGACGCTCACTCCACAACATCAGCCCACATGTTCTCCCCTTTTTGTTTCCAGGTCTTGCTTTGTGCTCACTCGCCACATCAACCTCAATAAAGAAAGAAATAAACGGGCCAGGTGCCTCAGAGTGGTGGCACTCACAATAAAATGCACCCCTGCCTCATCTCTGCTGAGAGAACAAGGGAGGTACAGAGACCACTGAGCCCAATGTTTAGAGGTTGTCTGAATCACAACAAAAAACACGTCTGGTCTAAATAAAGGCATCGGTTCACATCTGATTGATTCCGAGCAAAACACGGAGCTGGTGCGCTGCAACAAAACGTCTGTATCTTCAGTTCAGAGACTTCAAAGCAATGGTTTGAATATGCGCATGTAGGCCCAGGGTGATGAGGCTCTGTGGTATGGAGGTGTTTTTTTTACTGAGATCACCCTTCCACACAGTTGGCAAGAGCAGGATTTTTTCTTTCTTCTTTTTTTTTTTTTGCTTTGTTCAACATTTGGTTCCAAAAATCGATGGAAAAAAATCGACTTCTTTCTTTCC